GCAGAGTTCCTATTCCAAATGCCTTTGAACCACATGAAAGAAGACTGCACCTTCCTGGTGGCAACCCAACAGCAGAGTTCCTATTCCAAATGCCTTTGAGGTGGCAGCATTTCATGTAGATTGAGCAGTGGTAGCTCTCAGAACTGCTTTGGCCAAAGCCTTGTAGCAATCAACCACACAGGCTTTGATGCACCTAGCTAACATTTGCTTAGATACCTTAATTCCCATCTTCCCAGACTGATTTATATGCTCTTCCTGATATTTGTGGCCAATATTTGGGGATTAATGTGATATTTTTCTTAACATGTAGTATTTGATTATGCTGCAGATCAAAATAAATCTGATTTTAATTGTACTGTATGTGGTTTTATTTAAATTGAAAGGTAACTTATTAAACTTAAATACATAAATAAAAATATGAGCAGGCAAATTAATTTTCAAAGAAGTAGCCATGTTAGTCTGTGCAAACGTATAAAGAAAAAACAAACAAAAAAAAAAACTGTCAGAACCTGATAAGGATGTCTGGCTGCCCCAGGAGTCCTACAGAGATTTATAGCAAAAAACAGAAGCCTATGAATCATCATAGCTGACATCCCAGTAAAGAGTTAATCCCAGAATGAAACCAGACAATCAGTGATAAGCATTTACAAACTCATCTGGATATCGCATTATAAGTCTTTCCTGCATTGTAATAATTCCAGGCAATGCCGAAACTTGTTAATTTTGTTCACAAGTTTTATTTCAACATCTACTAGGTTCCATATGAAAAACGTAAAATCCAAAAGTATTAAAAACATGTAACTTTAAAAAGTCACAAGCATGTTGCTTTAAAAAACAGCTATTAACAAAGCTGTAGGTGCAAATGCTTAAACAGATTAAAATTGAACTTGAGTTCTACTTGAATAAAAAACATAGGAGTGTTGAAATATAGGAGCTAAATACATTAGAAAACATAGGAACATAGTACAATAAAATGTCAAAATGAATGTTTTAAGTTACATTGTTAAATATAGGAGCATTTCTATAAAGAGTAAAAAAGATTTGCAAGAGTAAAAATGAATAATAATTCATTGTGTTCAGATTGTGTCAAGCATGTGTGGCGGCAACCAGGTGAGGAGTACAAAGAAAAGTGTCTCATGCCTAGAGTCAAACGTGGTGGGAGTGTCATAGTCTGGGGCTGCATGAGTGCTGCTGGCAGTGGGGAGCTACAGGTCGTTGAGGGAACCATGAATGCCAGCATGTACCATGACATACTGAAGCAGAGCATGAGCCCCTCCCTTTGGAGACTGGGTGGCCGTGCAGGATTCCTACATGATAACAACCCCAAACACACCTCCAAAACTATCACTGCCTTGCTAAAGAAGCTGAGGGTGAAGATGATGAACTGGCCAAGCATGTCTCCAGACTTAAACCCTATTGAGCATCTGTCATCCTGAAACGGAAGGTGGAGGTGCGCAAGGTCTCTAACATCCACCGGCTCTGTGATGTCATCATGAAGAAGTGGAAGAGGACGCCAGTGGCAAGTTGTGAAGCTCTGGTGAACTGTGTGTCCAAGAGGGTTAAAGCAGTGCTGGAAAATAATGGTGGCCACACAAAATATTGACACTTTGTGCTCAATTTGGAGATTGTCACTTAGGGGTGTACTCAGTTTTGTTGCCAGCAGTTTAGACATTAATGGCTGTGTGTTGCATTATTTTGAGAGTACAGCACATTTACACTGTTATACAAGCTGTATACTCACTGCTTTACATTGTAGCCAAGTGTTATTACTTCAGTGTTGTCACATGAAAAGATATACTAAAATATTTATGAAATGTGAGGGGGTGTACTCACTTCTCTGATACACTGTATTTTGCAGTATCCCTTTGTAAATTAACATTTTAAGTAAAACACAACACAATTGGCATTTTAAAATCTGCTTCACTTTTTTCTCTTGTTTTCTTGTTCACTTTGGATCATTGCTCTGTTGCTTACTTTTTATACTGAAAACTGGCATTGAAACTCAGTGAGTTACTTCTGCCTTGTTATTTTATCAGCCTGAAAACTGGCAATGAAACTCAATGAGTTACTTCTGCCTTGTTATTTTATCAGTAGCTTTGTATCAAAACAAGCTAATGTAAACTATCTCCCCAGCTGTAGTTTTTAAATAGTTGTTGTTGTTGTTTAGTCGTTAAGTCATGTCCGACTCTTCGTGACGCCATGGACCAGAGCACGCCAGACCCTCCTGTCTTCCACTGCCTCCTGGAGTTTGGTCAAATTCAAATACTATCAAATTTGCAATAGTATTTTCACTTTTAATATACCTCCGAAGCACCTTTTAAAAAGCAGTTTTAAAGCCACACTTTGCACCCCATAAACTAATTTTTTAAAGAAATTATTGATAAAACAAGAAACATAAAAAGCATTATAGGACCTTAAAGACTGTTATTTCTCCAAGATGGAGTTGTGTGGATACATCTACTTCATCCTGAATAAGTTGATATATCCACTTTGAAATATGCTAGTTAGCTTTTAAGGTGCCACAATGCTTTTGTTTTTATTTTTTTATTTTGTTTCTATCTTGATAGAATTGTAATCTTGTTCCTTGATCATGCCCGAAATGATGCTCTACTAATACTTATAGCAGTCAGCAGCTTAAAGATGCCGACATTCTGGTTTAGTTGTGCTCGTAGAAAAGGCTTGGTTGTACCCAAGGCCTGCTAAATGTAAATATATTTGTAAGAGTAATATGCACCATTTTCAAGCCTTGCTTGTGGAAAAAAAATCCAAGACGCTAATTCAACATTAATTTGTATGTATTAGTTGAGATTGCCCAAAAGTATTTGGATAAAAATAATTGAATTTCCAAAAGCTTTATGGTTAATCACTAGAATTCTCAGTACACATTTTTATCATCCTTTGTCCCTAGGAACCTTAGGCTTATGGCACATAAACAGAGAAAATACCTTGTATATAGGATTAGTGTTAGATAACTTTGGTGGAAGGGCAACACACTTGGGTTGCATTCCCAGTGGGGTCTGCATTGGAACAGCTTTGAGAATTGAACTTCCCATGAACATTCTTGCTTTGTCAAAAAAAAGTTCCTTTCCCCAGAGCTTGCCCTTTGAGATGAAAATCTAAGACTTTCCAGTCAGGGTGGAGAGACAAAGAACATGCTTTTGATTGAGAAATTTCTTACCAGTTTTTGTTTTGTGGCTGAATAATTATTTACTAGGAATGAATATTGCTGTATTTTAAAAAACAGCCCCTCTTTCTTTTTATCTTGGTGCAGCGTACTTGTTGAGTGCCCACTCTGCCATACCAAACCTTTACATTTCAAGCATTTATTTATTTTACAGAAGAAAAATCCAGAAAAGAATCTTAGCATTGGCAGAATGGAATGGTTGCATGGCTTCTGACTTGTGCCACAAGTACATATATGGAACAGCTAATAATAGTTCAGACAGGTCCTGGGAAAAGGTGTGAATTTGGACAATTGGATTGTAGAGGATGATTTCCTACTCCCCAGCTAGTGTATGAGTACTCTGGGTAAAGTATTCCCCCCCCCTCATCCTGTTCCTTTCCCTATCTGTCTTTTTACAATGTCCTACCTGATAAAGAGATCTCAGAAGCTGGCACGTAGTTTATGTCTTCTTTATTGTTCTATTAAAAGTATTTTAGAAGAAATACGCTTAGATTGTCTTGTCATTGTGAGTGCAGATCCTGCTCAGGGTTTTCTAGGTAGAGAATACTCAGAAGTGGGTTACTATTCTCTTCTTCTGGGGGGGGGCACCCTGGGACTGTGCAGCTTGCCCAAGGCCACCCAGGCTGGCTCTTCCCATGAGAAGCACACTGAAGAGTCTACAGCCAGATACCCAGCTCACAGAACCATCCAACCAGCTACTGGCAAATAAAAGTCTGCAACCTGCAGATTGTTCTTTTTAACATTAATGTAACTGATAGGTGTGCTAATGTAGTTGAGTAGTTCAGGACTTCCTGAATATTTTATGAAACCAGAACCTTGAGCTTGATTTGGCAAGAATAATGGTTTTCCAAGCGGCCCAACAAAAGGTTTGAACAGGAGCTATTGGTATGGCACCTGTAATTTTCATGAGTTCACTTGAAATATGTTCAGAACATTTCCCATAATAGACAGACAAAATGGAAATAACAAATGTGTAATCTTAAGCACGCATTGCTTAGTGTGAGAAATTCTATAACTTTCAAACCATTTGTAACTGGAAAATAAAAAAATCCTTAGTACTATTCTCAGGACTGTGCACACACACACCCCCAAGAACCTCAGCAGGGATTGTTTCTTTGTTAGTAACAGACTGAAAGTTACAGATTTTCTCATGCCAAGCAACAGGATTTCAGCTGTTATATACAGGTATGTAGGGGAGTTTTCATCTGAGCTAAGCAGTATATTATTCACAAGGTAATATGAACTTGCTAATGTGCTAAAGAAGACAAAAACATGCTTGTTCCCTGCAATCTCTGATCACCTTTTGGCATCATATTGGCTAAGGAGGGTAGTGAAGTTATGAGAAGGAAAGCAACTTGTGAACAGAAGGAACAATCTAATTAAGGCACACTGTTCCAAACCATTTCAAAGCAATCCAAACTAGATTACTCCCTGTCACTAATGTAGCCATATCCTAAGGTTGTCTTCATTTAGGACAGTATTGTGAATCAGTAGACGATTTGTAAGAAATGACAGGGAAGTGTGGCATTGCTGACCACTCAAACAGTATTTGGTGTCGTTATTCTCTCTCTCTCTCTCTCTCTCTTCTCTCTCTCTCTCTCTCTCTCTCTCTCTGTGTGTGTGTGTGTGTGTAAAAAAGTGGTTTGATGATGTAGCTGACCTATTTGTTTTTATAGAACTGCTCTGGGAAGTTGATAATACTGGCATTTTATAATGAGGTTGAGCCACTTCAAGAATTTAGCAGGCTGGAAATCTGTTAAAAAAGAAAAGAAAAACCCAAGCATCTGATTTCACAGAAGGAATTCTGTTTTGTCAGGTTTCATGGATGCCCAATAGTTCCTGTTGCTGCAAAACCTGGTGGACCAGAAGCCCCAGAAACTGTGGTTCCAATAGGAGTTTCTGAACTAATTGAGGTATGTGCTTTAGAATTGTTCTTACCTAAAAAATAGTATCTGATAGTTGAAGTCTATTGGCGTTAGGATTGTCAGGTCAGTAGCACCCAATTTTCTGAGATTTCAGCCACAATCAGAGATTTTGGGAGAGAGAGTGCACATCTTTCTTGCATGTGTGAGTGCACGTCAATGGATGATGTAGAAACTTTATGATGAATTAAAAGTCTGGTATGTGAATTTTGCCAACAGTGGATCATGAGCATTCAAAATCACATCGAAGACAAAGGTGCTTCTGAGCATTTAGAAATGGGATGTCCTAAAGGTGTACAAATGAATCTCTAAATCTAGGGTTGCCAGCATTTCACTTTTTGATCCGGAGCCTGAAATCAGAATATACCCTAAAACCTGAGTCCAAGATCCAAAGCCTGTGACCTGGCAACCCAAATTGGTACTATACAAATTACTTTGTATGAAGGATAATACTTAATGTGGGATCGGGATTACACTGGAAAGATGGGATGTCAGAGAAACAGTTCTTTGCTTGTAGAGTTGTGAAAGGCCCTGCATTTGAGAACCTTTGTAGTCATCTTCTAGTTTAGCCCCTCAGATATTGAGCTGAATGTTTGAGGATGATGTGAGACTGCAGAAACTGATGGTACCCAGACTTTGCCTCTCAGTGGCCAAGGCAAACGAGTACACAAAAACTCCCTTACATATGTATAACTTTGGGATTTCTATGAAATCAAAGTCAGAATGCATGGAGAGGCTCCCACATAAGGGAACTGCTTCCAGCATAGATATTGTATAAGAAGTACTGTATATGTCTTTGAAGGAATATCTACTATGGCCCTTTGAGGATGTATATGTTTCTAAATAAATACCTTTTAAAAGTGGAATCACTGGGTAAAAATAAATAAATTAAAATTTGAATGACAAATTGATTTTTATTCTAAAGGGACAGCTTTATTTGTTATCATGGCTGGAACCCTAGGAATATTCTTTAAAAATAAGCCTCTTTGAACGTAGTGGGACTTACTTGTGAGTACACATGTGCCTTCAAGTCAATTCTGACTTATGGTGCACTTTTCCAGGGTTTTCTAGCTAGAGAACACTCAACAGAGTATTGCCATGAGACTGTGTCGTTTGCCCATGGCTACACAAGACATGGAGGCACAGAGGAGAATCAAATCAATTCTATATATATAGAATTGGATGCCACTATACTCTCTGTTGAGACCTGAGTTTTTTTCATTGGAAATGCATCCCATATTGACAAAGCCATCTTTAAATATAACCACAGTTCGAAAGCTGAGAAGCATATTTCCTAACTGTCCTGATTTATCCCATTAGTAGCAACTTCGAAGTTCTGTGGTTTTTCAGGAAATGTCTCCTAGATTTTCACCCTGTAATTTGCCAATTATTGTTTCTTTTTAAAGAACAACTCTTTGGATGGCATTAGTAAGATATTATTTGATAAAAGGAAGTAGGTCATATAAACTTTTGGCACTCTGTCCTTTTTTTTTAGTGAGAACGCCTAAGCATGTTGGTTTGTTGCAAGCCTTTAAAATAAAAATGCAATATAAAGGTACCACAAAGGGATTTAAATCCAGATGTACAGACATGCATCATGCACAGAAGGCTGTGTTGAGTTAACATAGATACTCCCACATTCTTATTGTACATCTGGATCAAATATCACAATCCTAGCTCTGCTGTTCCTCACCAAGAGCCCTCATGGCACAACAAATAAAGTGCCAGACTGCAGCTCAGGAGACCTGTGTTCAAATTCTTGTTCAGCCATGCAGATTCACTGGGTGTATGTGTGTATATGATTTCCTAAAAATCTCACATACCTTGAAAACTCTTATTAAGGTTGCTATAAGTTAGAAGTGACTTGAAGGCATATAAAAACAAACCTCTCCCCACCAGCTAAAGAAATTCTAAATCCGTTCACTCCCCATTTATAACTTTATTTACAATGTATTATTCAGGCTTTCAATTCGTGGCTGTACCTGTCTATTCAAAAATAAGCCCCTTTGCTTTCAGTGAAATTTACTCCCAAGTAAGTATTCACACTTTACTTTGTTCTTCCACCAATAACGCCATAAAGATGGTACATTCAGATTACCATTTCACGATGAATTCAAACTAAGAAATGGGAGCTTTCTTGAGGCTACAAGATGAATAGTAGAACTTTAAGCTCTTCTTCGTGGTCTCTGTGAATGCACACTAATGGGTTTAGAGTGCCTGCGCAGAGAAACCTCAGAATGGTTGTTGTGGGTTTTTCGGGCTCTTTGGCCATGTTCTGAAGCTTGTTGTGGAGAATGCTATAGTTGTTCTTCCTGACATTTCACTAGTCTCTGTGGCCGGCATCTTCAGAGGACTGGAGTAGGAACTCTGTCCATGCTCTGTTGCTGTTTGTTGGATAGTATTTATAGCTGTGGGAACAGCTTTTGTTCTATTCAGGAGATTGGGTGATCAGCGTGTTTTTGTTGTGGATATAAACACAGCCGTGTTTTATATCAACAAATGGGGGGGGGGACACACTCATTCCCTACCCCTTCTTTATCTGGCCATCCAGCTGTGAAAATGGTGTTATGCCTGCCACATTTACCCTGCGAAAATGGTGTTATGCTGCCACATTTACACACAATTGAATAAATAAATAAATGTGACTTCAGAGGGGAATACCCTAGAGAACCATCTCAGCAGGCTCCAGTCTTGCAGCTACGAGTGGACTCTCAATAACAAGATCTTTCGTCTTCTCTGCCGTCATTGGGGCAGACCATGGGTGGATGTGTTTGCCTGTGCAGACAACAAGAAGTGCAGTCATTACTGCTCTCGAGCGGGGATTGGCCATCAGTCCCAGGGGGACGCTTTCATGACCAGCTAGCCTGCTGTATATGTTTCCATTGATTCCGCTCATCCAGAAGACAGTCATCAGGGTCCGCCAGGACAATGCAGACACCATCCTGATTGCCCTGTGGTGGCCTTGCCAACCGTGGTTCTCCGCCCTGCAGCAGCGGGCAGCGGAGCATCTCCAACTTCCAGCAGTTCCTCATTTATTGACCTTGCATCACGGCAGGACATTCCATCCAGACCTAGACTCCCTTCACATAATGGCATGGAGGCTACCCCCACAGTCGGTGACGTCTTAAGCCATGCGCAGATGCACTCTACAACACTGATGCACTCCTACAAATGGAAAGCCTTTTGTGCGTTCGCATCCTCACACCACTTACCTATACAGCCGACCTCTCTCGATGCAGTCCTCCAGTTCCTCCTCCATCTTTCCCAGCGTGGCCTTTAACATTCCACACTGAAGGTTTATATGGCAGCAATAGTGGCTCATCAGCCACACTCTTCAGAAGCAGCAGCTTGGTTCCGCCATCCTACTCTCAAGCAGTTCGTATGCTTGAGAAAGATACGCCCAGTATACAAGCCTCCTACCCCTCAGTGATCCCTTCAGCTTTACTTATTCGCCTCATGAGGCCTCTGTTTGAACCACTGTCTATGGCATCTGAACAGCTGTTCACTCTGAAAACTGCTTTCCTCTTTGCCATTACTTTGGCTGCTCTTAGAGTGGACCCTCCTTTACTTCAGTTCCACCTGGACAAGGTGAAACTCTACCTGGACGTTTCCTTTGCACCCAAGGTGGCCACTTATTTTCATTTAAGCTAGCATGTTGTGCTCCCTACATTTTTCCCTGCACCAACTTCAGGTCTTGAACGTTCTTTGCATTCCTTGAATGTCAAGCGAGCACTGCTCATGGGCGACACCATCTACTTTTGTGACCCATTATCAACTGGACATCCAGGCCAAGGCTGAAGCTTCTGTTGGCCGTGCTGTTCTGGCTTCTGTGCTCTTGTGATGTCCCTCCTCTGGGTATGTCAGCTTGCTAGTCGCCCATCAGTGTGCATTCACAGAGACCACAAAGAAGAAAAGGAGGTTACTTACCTGTAACTCTGGTTCTTCAAGTGGTCATCTGTGAATTCACACTTCTCGCCCATCCTCCCCTCTGTCCTTCATGTATGCCTTATGCATGCTGGGCAACGGCAGACTGTTCTATGGAACTGAGGCACTCAGTGCCGGGGTGGGGTTAAGGGTAGCGTGTGGAAGGTCCCGGCACCATGTGCTTAAGCTCTGGAATATTCCAAAGTTTCTCTGTGCAGGCGCACTAAACCCATTAGTGTGAATTTACAGATGACCACTTGAAGAACCAGAATTACAGGTAAGTAACCTCTTTTACTGTAGATATTGTCCACAATATACAGGTTAAACAGCAAAGTACAAGGGTGTATTTTATTGAGTCCAATTCCCCTCAAACTGAATTCTTCTTCCTCAGAGATGTTGTGCTCATCTAGATTCAACCCAATTGTGTCTTCATGCAGTTGAAACATAGTGGTATAAGAAGAGCTATCAGGCTCATTTTAATGTTATCACTGTTGCTTTTTGTGATACCGGATCTGGTTATGTCGAGCTTGAGGAAGCTTTTTTTTCTTGAGGGAGAGAGGGAGCAATGTATAGAATTATTAATGTGAATTTATTCCTTCCTAAAATGGGCAACATAAATTTTGACTTGACTACAACTGTCCCCCCCCCAAAAAAAAAAAAAAAAAAAAAGCAGAATTCTGTGTTTTCGACATTTCAGTGATCTCAATGCAGCTTTAAGAACTGGTAGGTATGCATGCGTCCTTTCTTTGCCAGGGAATGCAAGTAGCAATTCTTAACTATATTACTACAGTGCCTTTGGTAGGATCCATGTCTGACACTGTTTTGCTAACCATTCTGATTATTCTGTGTCAAATCTTTAAGGCAGAAAAGCAAATCCTTTGCTGTTGCTAAGTTTGTGTCTTCTGGGAAGCATGCACAGTTCACTTGACAATGGCCTACTCCAGCCTAACTGCAGGATTTGTGGAGTCACCAGGAAAATGTACAGTGGTTAAATCAGTTGTTTATATATTGTCTCCATTTCTTCATTGTTTTTTGATATTTCTTCACCAGGGTGAAGCCCCCCTTTTTTGTTCTTGCTTTTAGGTGCTGAAAGCAGAGGCTTACTTACCAAAAAGAGACCCATCAGGGTCTTTCCTCATGGCTGTTGACCACTGCTTCTCAATTAAGGGTCAGGGTACTGTAATGACAGGAACTATCCTTTCAGGCTCTGTTAGCATTGGGGACAATGTGGAAATTCCAGCCCTGAAGGTGAGTGGCTCTTTCTACCTCCTGCGTTGCCTTAAAAATATAGTAATACAGAAATATAGTGGTGCCTCATTTGACGAGGATAATCCGTTCCAGCAAAATCGCTGTAGAACGAAATCGTCGTCAAGCGAAAGTAAAAAATGCATTGAAATGCATTGAAAACTGGTTCAATGCGTTCCAATGGGCGAAATACCTCAGCGTCCAGTGAAGATCCTCCATAGGGCGGCCATTTTCCGGTGCCTTTAAAGCGAAAAAGCCTTCCTAAACACAGCTATAGCAATCTCAAAATACTCATTGTTAAGTGATTTCCTCATCTAACGAGGTAATCGTCAAGCGGGGCACCACTGTACTTAAAATACTCCTCACTTCTTTGCTTTGTCTATTTAATTCCCATTTGGTGCATTTAGTTTTGTTGAGAATATAATAACATATAGAAAATATTGTACAGTGCAGTGTAAATCCTGTTGTAGTATTGAGAAATGGATTTGCTAAGACTACAGATAGAAATGGGATTGTAAGCCAGAGGCTAACTTTTCCAGAAACAAAGGCATGGAATTTTTTTGGACAAACAAGTCAACTAATTAGAATGACAGCCTTGTCCAATCTTAGCAATAGGGAAAATCAAATAGAGGATGAATACAGGTCATATTATGAAAAGACATTAGAAACAACAATTATGTATTTTAAAATCTGGCAAAAGTGAGATGTATCCAATTTGTGGATTCAGTCATTGCTGGAAATAACATTGAGAAAGAGCCATAAGACAATATGATAAAAGAAGTGAATAATACCTACAATATGCCTAAAATACTCTGGATCTGCTAGTTAGGAGGTGACTATAAAGCTGATATACACATTCTTGAATGGCACTGGGAAAGTAAACAGTTAACTGTCAATGTAAAATGATATACAATGTATTATATAAACTTTTAAAACAGTTGAAATAAAACAGTGTAATTACGTTTTCACATACACCAAAGAGTATATGTTCTAAAATTAACGGAGAAGCGGTTATTAATATTATTTGAAATGTAACATTGCAATCTTTGACCACTTAAATGTGGTGTTGATAGATGCAGAAGCTTATACTGTAAACCTCAGTCAAAGGGATGCTATTATATGCCTCCAGTTCTAACTCGTTAATTGCTCCATTTATATAATTTATTTGGCGTTTACATTCAAATCATATATTTACTCAAAAGCAAGTCTCAGTTGTGCTCAATGAGCACATATAGGATGACTTGCAAATGAAGAAAGGATCTGATTAAAAGGATAAAATGTATTTTGATCCAGAATATATTTTCATTTAGTCTCAGAGTGTGAACTGTCAATCTGCGATTTATAGTATTAAGAGATTTGATCAATTAAATTGATTTTGTCCTAATGGTTCCAACCAACACATCACAACACTAACATAACATATAGAAAATAATACCTAATTCCTAATTTTAAAGCTATAAAATGCACAGCAATCTCTGGCTCTATAAAATAATGTATGCTGACATCATTTCTTCATAATTAGGTCAGATTTACTTTATGAAATTTAGGAAAGCCATGAAATAATTGAGGGTTTTTAAATTATTATTACATTTTCTGTTTCTGCACTGCTTGTTTCCTATGGCTATTCCTCCACTGTTTCTTTGTATGCATCATCCTGTTGTATATATGGCAACAGAGAAGGTAAGAACTTGAAATTACTGATTGTGTTTGCTGTTCCACACTGGTGTGTTCCATGGCTAGGATACCTGTGAGATCTATACCATTCTCAGGGCCTGCAAAGCAGCAGAGGAAGCAGTTTTTATAACACGTTGTGGATCATGACACTCAATGACCTTTCTTTGCCCTGACTCTTCGCTAACTGAGATTGACAGCTGGTGCCCACTGGGCATTGGGGACATTGCAAAACAGCTGCTTTCCAAATTCAAGGAACCCTCTCAGCAAATAAAGTAGCATCTCGTACCTATTCTGCTAATAGACTTCGACATCTGTGACCGCTTGAACTTGCACAAAGGAGGGACAGAGCAATTAAAAATAAACAGTGACATTCTCGAACGCCCATACTTTCTGATTGAGGTTGAGAATGCCAGCAGCACACGGATTCCTTTACACTGTTGCCTATGTAAATTGCCATCTGGGGTTGATTATTGGAACTGCAATGGGAGAAGTTTGTGTGTGTGTGTGTGTGTGTGTGTGTGTTTGTGTGTGTGTGTGTGTGTGTGTGTGTGTGTGTGTGTGTGTTGGTTAAAAACGTTTGACGTGGCAAACAGTTCTCCAATGAGGCAATTTAATACCAGTTGTTCAAGGGTACTTGAAATCCATATTAAAGAGCATAAGCTCAGGACTTGTGCTGTGAAAATACGGTGATAACACAGTTCAGGCTGGCCTTTGGGATTGTATTAATGATCATTGAGATCTTTAAATTTCCACACATCCAAGTTAATAAACTAGAGAAGTGTGCATGAAGTGACATATATGCTGCTTCTGTCTTTTTATGAATAAAGTTTTTGAGTTATGACCACCACCTCCCATTAGACATGATGGGACTTGGTTAAAATGGAGGGTTTTGCCTATTATTCCAGTCAATTCAGAAACTCTGAACTCAACTGGAAAGCTGGGTTGTCATCACAGTCTTTATTTTACAAGCTAGGATACAGTATTGTGTAGCAGTGAAAAGTATATGTGTGTGTAAGAATATGTAAGTTTTATGTCAGGAGTGAGGAGAAGAGTACAGTGGGGTCTTGACTTGAGAACTTAATCCGTATTGGAAGGCGGTTCTCAAGTCGAACTCAACTGCTGGGTTGTCATCACAGTCTTTATTTTACAAGCTAGGATACAGTATTGTGTAGCAGTGAAAAGTATATGTGTGTGTAAGAGTATGTAAGTTGTATGTCAGGAGTGAGGAGAAGAGTATGTATTTGTGTATTGCAGTTCCCAACCAATAGCTGATGTACCCCTTGGGTTTGCTCTTCTAAAGACTTTCTGTACAGATAGATTAATATGCCCTAAACTGACCTAAGATTAGTTGAAAATAGAGATGGGGGTATTTGTCTTCATATACGAATATCTCTGCACAGGTGGAAATAACGAGGGTCACAATTTCGCCGCCGCTGCAGGCTCTGTAGAGGCCTCCTATTGCGCCTTTCTCCACAGTGGATTAGCCACTCTGTGATCTGGCGGAGAGGCTTGTCATCCTGCCTCCTACCAGTAGCGGGTAATCGATAGCGGACAACAGCGCAATAGGAAGCCTCTGCGGAGCCGGCGGCAGCAGCGAAAACCATCGTTATTTCCACCTGTGCGGGGATATTCATATTCATATACAAATACGCCCATCACTGGTTGAAAACCATGATTCTCATTTTCAGTTTCTCTCTCTTCAGGTCCTCATTTTAAAATTATTTTACTCTATTAAAAAAAAAAACTTAGTCAATATAGGTAATCTATAGTTCCTGATTTATGACATTTTTTTTCTAGGAGGCATTCTTTTACTTTGGCTTTTCTTTGCCAGCATTGTCTTGCTTTGTGCTGCTGCTGCTACTCATGAGCGTGGGGTGAAGAGCTGATACCACATGGATACTCCCTTGAAAGTAAAATTGTCAGCAGCCGTTAGAAAGAAAAGGAGAGATTAAAACTGAAATGGGTGCTTAATGATAGGATTGATTAGGGGTGAGATGCTTGGTGATGTTGTATATATTCTTGGTTTGTTACAAGCTGGCCAAACATAGTTGTAGAACAAGTAGGGTTGATGCTTTATCTATCACAATAATCATGGGGGAGAACATGAGACTGAGTTTAGTGCCACAGCAGGGAACTGTAGTGATCCAAACCCTAATTGGCATTCAGAGTCATACAGATGGTAGGTTAACCATTTCATGTGCTTTTGGGGGAACTAGGTCTGAAAGGTGGAGAGTCATCAAGATAGTGAGAGCTGAAGTACAGTATCTGTCAGCATTCAGTGAACTAGAGGGTTGGATGGAAAGGTTCCTGTCTCTCTTCTTAAACCAGTACTTGCACCTTAGAAGTCTTTTTCTTATGTTACAAGGTTTAGTTGATTCAGCTACTAATTAAACTTTGTTTGCAGGCTTGTAGTAATTCATCTTCATCTGTATATTTCCATGTATGTACATGGCCTCTTACTTATAATGGAAGCGAAAAGCTAGAAGAACAGGCTCCTGTCCCAGTGAGTTAACTATCTGAAGTTTCATACTAGGGAAACTGGCAAAGAGGAAAAGGTTCACTGTAGCAAACAGTGGAGAGGGGGGAGAGATGGTAGACTTGAGGGTAAAAAAGAGGTTTTGTGAGCAATTCTGTTCCATGTATCAAGTCTTTGTTTTGATTGATGATGATGTGGTTAAAGCTGAAGGTTTTAGATTTCCAAGGAGATATTTTTGGAATTCGGTGAATGGTATTCCAGGTACAAATGGAAGCAAAAGAGATACAGTAGAGTTGTAATGAGGGTGAAAGAGGAGAGTGCAAAAAATGGTCTGAAACTCAACATCAAAAAAACTAAGATCATGGCCACTGGTCCCATCTCCTCCTGGGAAATAGAACGGGAAGACATGGAAGCAGTGACAGATTTTACTTTCTTGGTCTCCAAGATCATTGCAGATGGAGACAGTAGCCCCGAAATTAAAAGACGCCTGCTTCTTGGGAGGAAAGCGATAACAAACCTTGATAGCATCGTAAAAAGCAGAGACATCACCTTGCCAACAAAAGTCCGAATAGTCAAAGCTATGGTTTTTCCTGTCGTGATGTATGGAAGTGAGAGCTGGGCCATAAAGAAAGCAGACCGCCGACGAATTGATGCCTTTGAATTGTGGTGCTGGAGGAGGCTCTTGAGAGTCCCCTGGACTGCAAGGAGAACAAACCTATCAATTCTAAAGGAAATCAACCCTGAGTGCTCACTGGAAGGACAGATCCTGAAGCCGAGGCTCCAATACTTTGGACATCTCATGAGAAGAGAAGACTCCTTGGAAAAGACCTTGATGTTAGGAAAGTGTGAGGGA